GTGAACGGCACAGGCGGTTTCTCAGTATTTCTGCTGAAGAATCTCCGTTGAATTGTAGATTCAAATAGAGAAGTTTCTTGGGAGCAGTAAGCATGGACGGTTTTTGTGTATTGAGCTTCATGGCTTTTGTGATGAAACGTTCCGGGTAACCGTTTTCACTTTAAGTTCTAGTTTTTTTTTGTGAAGGTTGAAAGCACGTCCCTAACACAAATTCTCACATTATATCAACTCTGTGTGTAGACAGAAGATGATGATGATTACTCACACCATAACTACTAGGCCGCTTTTTTTTCTAATGATGCAACACAAAATTGTGTGTGTGTGTGTGTGCGTGTGTGAATTTGTCTAAATGACATGTATTCATTATTGATCTGTTACGATATTATTATTGTCTATCTAAGTGAATTGCATCTATTTTTATAAATGTGTGACGCAACATGTGATCTGATCATGTGTTACAGCTACGTGCATTTTGGTTTCAATGTGTGTTTTAGTTGATAGGATGACAGAGAGAGAGAGAGAGAGAGAAGTAACTTACCTTATTTATTTTATCACATTCAGTAAAGCGTTTATCAATACAAAACGGCTACTATTGATTGATTGATTGATTGCAGTGATTGTGTAATCATACGTGTTTGTGTGTGCGTGCGTGCTCGCGTGCGTGCATATATAGATATACACACGCACACACATACACTCACACACACCATTCAGTATTATTTTTATACTGATGATAACCTGATTATTATTATTATTACTAATATTAGTAGCCTTTTATTCTACTTATCAGTAATAATTATTATGTGATTGTAGTAATACAGATGTGTTTGGTATTCAAGTGTCGTTCAGGTTATTGTTGTGATTTTTTCCGTTAGAAAAGAAACTATTTCTCTTAATCGATTTCAGTATGACAAAAAGACAGTAATAATAAAGACAAAAAGTCTATCAACAAGGTTGTGAAGCAGGTTACACCAGTTGAGCTGGATGATTAGGACATTGTTGTGTTGAGCATTCATGCCTAGCCATCACGCCTTCCCCTACTGACTGACATAGGATAATTGAGGTTGGAAAAGACGTGTAGTGGTAGTGGCGGTTAAACGAAAAACCCGGCTTCATCATCAGTCAGTGAAATCCACAACAGTAAGAAGTTTAAGCCAGTCAGCCAGCCAGCCACGGAGGTGAAGACTGCCTTACTACTGATTGTCTGCCTTGTTTGGGATCCTGAGGATGGTGGCGAGAGTCAATGAATTGAGACAATTGAGAGACAATTGATGATATGGCTTGCTCAAAATTGTTCTCAGTGATGGCTGTCGCCGGTGCAGATGCATCCACTCTTTATGACGATTTTTCATATCCAATAAAACTCTAATTTCCTTTCATATTTCATATCTCTTTATTATATCTCTGTTGAATCTCTGTTTACTGTCTTCTCTTGGTTTGTGTGGTACATGGAGGGAGTGTGGCCAGTAGAACTGGTAAAAGTCTGTGCAAAGTTCTTTGCTGAAACTAATCAGTCAATAAATTGTGTACACTGGAATTGTGGAACACTTATCTACCATGACTACCTTAACTGATTTTCACTGGATCCCTGCTGTGGGCTGCATATTTTGTCCTACCTCCTTCAAACGTCCCAAGATGTTCTTTTTCATGCGGTGACTGAACACGGTGTTATCGTCTAAATATACTATGCAAACTTCTCGAATCAGTCCCTTAAGTGTACTGTACGCATCAACCATTGTAACTTTGCTGGTACATTACCCAAACCGGAACAAATGATCTGGTTATTTATATAACCTGCTAGGTAGGTATAAGGAAAGTAGTCCTAGGCCAGTCATGGGAGTGCGCCTGTTAATTAATATCTTGAAGCTAATTCAAAAGCCTCTGACATTTTTTCGTCAATTTGTGACAAGGGATAAGCATCTCTCTTCGTGTCACCGCATTTAATTTCCTATAATCAACACATAACCGAAGCTTACGGAGGATTGGATAGTGGTGCAGTTGTCTTTTTCTGCAACATTTCCTCGATCATGCTATCAGGTTTGGAGGTGCAAAGCTTCCATTGTCAATATGATGCTTTTGATATCTGTTATTCTCCCTAGGTCACCCCGGTGAACACATGACTGCCTTCAGAAAAGTCTAGCATTAGCGTTTACGTATGGCCTCTTTGATATTCCCTGTGGACTTGTGTTTTAATACTTCTTCCATCATAGTCGTGTCAATTTAGTCAGTAAGCTTATCACTACATTAGTTGATAGACATGTGAAGAACTGATGCGAACAATGTTCTAAATCCATATTCTCTCAGCCTCTCTATTCTCAACTCTCTCCGCCTTGTATCACTTGCATCTCATCTGGTAGAAGTAGAAGTCAGTACAAAAGATTATGTACAAAAGGGAATGCCGAGAAAATACATTGCACTGATTAAGGCACTCTACTCGTACTCATGCAGCCAGGTGAGGGCTTACGGCGAGTTGTCATATGAAGTAGCGATGACTAGTGGCGTCCGTCAAGGATGTCCATTATCCCCATTTCTATTCAATTTCATCATAGACGTACTAATGGACTTAACCCTAACTCACTTCAGAGACTCAGGGATTGACTTGCTACCAGGGAATAATCTCGTTGACTTAGAATATGCAGACGATATAGTCCTTCTAGGCGAGGACGCTGACAAATTGCAGACACGGTCTTCTGAACACCTTGAGCTGCAATCTTCATATGTTTGGAATGCAATTCGTCCCTGTAAAATGTGAGATGATGTTGCAGGATTGGACTACACCGACCCCTAGATTAGAAATAGGAAGTGAAGTGGTAGAGCACGTTGACCGCTTCACTTATTTGGTAGTACCATCAGCCAGTGCAAACGGGTTGATCTCTGACGAAATATCAGTACGAATACAGAGGGCTAGGTTCGTATATGCCCACCAGTTTACGCCGTCTCTGGCTTAGTAGACGTGATATCCGGCTGGCTGGCTATCGACCAAAAGGCGTATGTGCTGCTCATCAGTCCGCTCCGTCCTCCTTTATGGCTGGCTGTGAGCGAGACCTGGCCATTGAGAGTGGGTGACATGAAAAGATTAGCTGTCTTCGATCATATGTGCCTGTCTGCGTTCTATCTCCCGTTTTACGTGGTGGTATAATAAGGTGAACAATATTAAGGTTAGGCGACGAGTGCTAGGTAAGGCGGGGAAATCAATCAATGAGACTGTGAAATTACATCGACTGAGATGGTTGGGTCATGTGTTACGTATGCCTAGTCATCGCCTTCCTCGACGGGCAATATAAGCTGATATAGAATTGATCAGACTGGAAAAGAGCTGGCGGCGGTCAAACGAAAACATGGCTTCACCAGTCAATGAAATCTACAACAGTTAGTCTAGGCCACGTAGGAAGGTGTAGACTGGCTTCCTGACTGGTTGGGGTCCTCGGGACGGACAATGAAAACCAATGGTTGGAAACAATTGGTGACATGGCTCAAAATCGTTCTCAATACCTGGCTGGCGCAGATGCATCCACTCCTTGTGACTTATGATTTCCAATTAACTCTATTATGGATAAGATTTTATTTTCATAAATCACACAGTGTTACACAGTAATATTAACTGATGACGTTTCGAGCACAAATCTAGTCAATTCCATACATATATATAAATGAAGGGAAAAGTTGTGTGAGTAACTTGATATGATTATGAGCAATAATTTGTGCTCGAAACGTCATCAGTTAATAATACTGTGTAACACTGTGTGATTTATGAAAATAAAATCTTATCCATAATGGAGTGAGTTATGCTCTATCGCAGTGCCCAAGTTTTTTATACTTATATCGATTTCCAATTAAACTTTTGTTCTTCGTTATTACTTTTCCTTTGTCTCACCACACCTCTGTTTACTGTCTCTAATATGCATTTCTCCTACTTTTTTCTCTTGCTTTGTGTGGTACTTGGTGGAAGTGTGGCGACTTGAACTGCCACACATATGTGGAAAGTTCTATGTCGGAAACCGACCGACAAACGATTATATGCTCGCACGGTCAAGTATAGGAAATCAACGATACCATATTTGGTCAGCCCCGGTGTTCTGTGCGACAGAGACAATATTAGGCGGGAAACCTATGAATTACTGCTTTGTTAGCAAAATAATCGGCTCTTCTATTTGCAATCTCCTATTTGTAATCTATAGTGACAGTATCTCGGTTAACTGAAAATCCTGCCTACGAACATTGTTATCATTATTATTTGCAATTTTTTGTATATATATTGAAGGTTATTCAATAAAATTTGATGCAATATAATAATGATAATAATAGCTTTATTTCAAACAGTACTCTTCTTACAAATATGGAATTTTCAGCATGTAGTAGTAGTAGTCGATGTAATTTCACAGTCTCATCGGCTGATTTCCCCGCCTTACCTAGCACTCGTCGCCTAACCTTAATATTGTTCACCTTATTATACCACCACGTAACACGGGAGATAGAACGCAGACAGGCACCTATGATCGAAGACAGCTAATCTTTTCATGTCACCCGCTCTCAATGGCCAGGTCTCGCTCACAGCCAGCCATAAAGGAGGACGGAGCGGATTGATGAGCAGTACACACGCCCTTTGGTAGATAGCCAGCCAGTCGGATATCACGTCTACTAAGTTAGAGACGGCGTAAACTGGCGGGCATATCCGAAATTAGCCCTCTGTATTCGTACTGATATTTCGTCAGAGATCAACCCGTTGGCACTGGCTGATGGTACTTCCTATGTGCGATGTCTGATGATAGTGGAACTGTGCGAACTAACCAAATGCTCAAAATTCCACACTGTGTATCATTAGTGCTGTTGTGGAATGAAGCAGATTATTTTCATCATTATTATTATTATGGGTTTCATTATGTATTTCTTTAAAACAGTGTTTTTTTATAGTACCATTTTTCTCACATTAATCTTTTTTATTATTGTCATCCTGACTGTCTGTGTGTATATTTGTATGTATTTATGTGTGTATGTAACAGCGTCAACGAATCCGTTCACAGTTGGCCCAAAATCTGTAACAGGCGCTGCATCGAATCCATTCATAGCTAATCAACCTATAAAACCATCATTGAATCAGTTGGCACCGTCATCAGCCGCCGCTTTACCAGGACCAAGTTATTATAATCCTTCGGTGAATATTCCTACTGCTGCTGCTAATAATCATATTAATAATCCAATGTACTATCCGGTTCGACCTTATTTCGCCGCCGCTGCCGCTGCAGCTGCAAATGTACAACCTAATTATTTAGTAGCGATGAATTCAAATGCTGCATGGTCTGTTCTAGATGGTTCTGGCGGTAATATGATGCATCATCAACAACAACAACAAACAAGTAGTTTGAATCCATTTTATTGAAAAAAATTTTTTCTTCTGCTTTTTTTTTAATTTTTAATTTCAACGTTATTATCACATATATAACTACTAACACTAACTACTGGCTTATATACATGTATAATCACCAATCACCATCGCGTACAATCTGACTCTCTATAATTTTTGTTTGGAATCAGTTGCTTTTTTCGCTTTCTCTCTCGCTCTCCCTCTTTCTTTTTGTGTTTCTTATCTACTTTACTATTTCATTTCACATTAAATTTAATTTTGGTTTTCAAAGAAACACAATAATGTGGTAAATACCATACCACCTCCCCTCCTCCAGCAGACAATTCTCCATCTCTCTTCTGTGTGATATAATAATCATAATAATAATAGGCGGTGGTGTATTATCCTTATATAAAATATCACTTGTTGCATGCACAGTGTGTCTTTGGATTTCAACATTCTTGCAGACAATCAAACTGGAGAGTAGTAGTGAGAGTGTTCATTGCTTTCCTTTCTTCGTCCTCTTCTTCTTCTTCTTCTTTGTGTGTTAACATAGAGTTGTTGTCAGGGATCTTTCTTTCATCGTTCGTTCTTCAGTAAGTAGTAGTAAGCTGGTGACTGATTATATTACCCTCAACAATACATACTTACTTACATACGTCATCCATCCATCCATCCCTCTACAAAATTGCAGTTATATCTAATCTAGGCTCATTTTCAGCAGTATACACACGTGTCACGTATTATAACAGACACATGATTTCGCTCGTTTTGTGCTTCTGTTTTTTCTGTTTGTTTGTTTGTTTCGTTTTTCTTGCTAATTATGATGTGTGTTTATTGTTCCTGTGTGAGTGTGTGTGTGTGAGGTCGGTGCGACTGACACCACCACCGCCACCCCCGCCACTACTACTACTACTACGACGACTATTTATTTTAGTGATTTGAAATGACGAATCATCCATCACTTTTGTTGATTTTGTTTTGTTTTTATTATTATTTCTATTTTCTCTGTTTTAATAACTTTAGACATCGTTCATTTGTTTGTTTGATTGTTTATTTTTATGTATCTATATGTGTATCTAATGCTTCATTGGATTGGCCGGGGGTCGGAGGTGGTTGGTGCGTGGGTGGTTGCTTTGATGTGTGTGCGTGCGTGTGTGATACAGACAGACAGACAGACAGACAGACAGAAATACAGTCAACATGATTTCCTCTCATTGGGATAATATGAATAATAATAATAATAATCTTCAGTATATATATTTCTTTCTCCTCTCCTCTCTTTCTGTGCGTGTTTGTACGTGACGTGGCTTGGCTTGGCGTGGCGTTGTATGGTACGATAAAAATTACACCAAAGACACTCTTGGAAATATGATTCTCTGGGGTTTTTGTCTTTTACTTTGGCTTTTGTTTTCGATTATTATTATTGTCATTATTATTATTATTATTCTCCTGTACTTTCTATGCCCGATTATCACATTTTTAGAATTGTGGTATTCCGCAATCACAGTAAGTAATCAATCAAGTGGTGGTGAACAGATAGATGATGACTGGACTCGAGGAGAGACAGACAGACAGAGGCAGAGAGAGAGAGTCAGTAGTAATGGAGTTGATATATATATATATATTCACACCCCTCCCACGCTCTGCTCCACCCCGCCACGCCACGCCACGCCCCGCTCCGCTCCGCCTGCTATTGTGTGCTATTATGCAGCAGTGACAACTACCTTCATTTTCTTTTCTGTTGTTGTTGTTTGTTTTTCCTTTTCTTAATTGTTTGTTTGTTGTTCCGCGTTAAATGTGTGTCTGTGCGCGCGCGTCTGGCTGCCTGCCTGCCTGCCTGCTTCCTTACAACTTATTGTCGTTGTTGTTGTTGTCCCACTGAATGCTCGACGACGACGACGTCGACAACAACAACAACAACAACAGTGGCTGATATTATTATTATTATCGTCATCTGTCATTGTTACTATACAATATGAATGAATGAATCAATCAATAAATGAATGAAATCAACACAGTGATCAATAATCCTTTTCATCAATTATATTAAAACACCTACCTATGTCTGTCTTATATATATATACAAATATACTTCTTTGACAATGTAATGCATACATCACCATTTGGACTAACTGCAATTACTACTACTACTACTACTACTCCTACTACTACTAATAACAGTAATAATAATTATAGTGATACCAAAACAACAATCGTTTATTCAATATGTCTTCTTTATTCACAACTGGAACATAGAGGGTTTCGACACCACACACACAACCATCGGTGTCCGTTTTTTGCGGGTTTCGCGTGCACTTCGGATTGGCATGCGATTCGCCCCTGTAAAATGTAAGATGCTGCTACAGGACTGGACTGGACTACAGGTCAACTCGTAGCTCAGTGATACGGAGTGAAGTGATAGAGCACCATGTTGACCACTTCACCACCTATTTGGGAAGTTGTATCAACACCAACGGATTGATTGATTGGTGATGGAATCTCAGCACGGATCCGATCCAAAAAGCTCGCACTGCTTTCGTTAACTTACACCATCTCTGGCGTAGGCGTGACATCCGGCTATCAACCAACCAAAGGACGTGTGTACTGCTCAGCAGTTCGCTCCGTCCTTCTCTATGGCTGGCTCTGAAACATGGCCAATACGAGTTGAAGGCATGAAAAGGTTGACTATTTTTGATCATAGATGTCAACGATCTCTTTCTTACATTAGGTGGTATAATAAGGTAAGTAATGTTGACGTTAGGTTAGGCGTAGTATGTTGGGTAAAGAGGGAAAATCAATCGACGAGGCTCTTAAGTTACATAGATTGAGATGGCTAGGTCACATGTTGCGCATGCCTAACCATCGCCTCCCCCGACGGGCATTACTAGCTGATATAGGTGCAGGTTGGAAAAGAGTAAGTGGTGGCCAAACAGAAACATGGCATCTATCCATGAAATCCTTGACAGTTAAACTGAGTCAGGTAGGGGGGGAGATGCAGACTTCCGGGTTGGGGCCCTCGGGACTCTAAGAATCAATGGCTGGAGACAATAGGTGACATGGCTCAAAATCGTTGTCAATGGCTTACGCAGATGTATTCAGTCTCTGTAATCTTTCATATTGCTTTCTACCATTACTCATTCTGTTTCACTTTTATACTTGTCAAAACTCTATTGATTCCCTTCACTCATTTTCGTGTCTACCTTTGTGTGGTATTTGGAACGTGGCAACTTGAACTTCTGCACTTGGGTGCCAAGTTCTATGTTGAATCACGCCAGCTGTTTGCGGGGGAGGGGGGAATGATGTCCTGTTGGCTGGCTGTCAACCGAAAGACGTCTGTACTGCTCACAAGTTCGCTCCGTCCTCCTTTATGGCTGGCTGTGAGACATAGCCATTGAAAGTGGAAGAGACATGAAAAGCCACGCTAGCTAGCTGTCTTTCGCTTTAGGTGTCTGTGATGTATCTCTCGTGTTAGGTGTAGCAGACAGGGTGCGTGAGCAATGTTGATGTGAGGCATCAGTCGGTCGAGTGCTAGATAAGCAAGGGAGGGGAGAAGGAGAAATCAATCTATTGACGTGGTTGTGAAGCAGTTACACCGATCGAGGTGGATGGTTAGGATATATGTTGGGCATGCATGTTTAGCCGACGCCTTCCTTGACCGACCGGCGATGCTAGCCACTGATACAGAATGAATCAGGTTGGAAAAGAGTTAGCTAATGGTGGTAGTGGTGGTCAAACGAAAACATGGCTTCATCATCGGTCAATGAAATCCACTGCTATCAAGTGTTGGTTTGTAGGGATTTGATTGATTGGTTACATGATTTCATCATGAGCTGACATCGGTTAGAGAACCATTGGAAAACTACCTGGGAGTACTGGACAGCTGTTTTGTCCTAGTTTGGGACTCTTCATCAGTACGCATTCATCCGGGGTTCCAACTGTAACCAATCAAATCCCTGCAAACCAAAACTTGAATATCAATGAGATGCTCACTAGTAAACTGGCCCTATTCAGATTGGTAGTTACCTGGGGTTCTGGTGAGAAGTCGTGATTAGTAGGGTACAGCAGGTCAGGTGTGAGGACAAATACTCGCCGGCGATGACATTGGCTATTGGTCGCACTATGTCGTGAATTGGTTGAAGTTTGAATTCATGGGCTGGTCATTGAACCAGGTCCCAGTGGCTAAATGGTCTACAGCCTAGCTCGCCTTGCAACCAGAAGGTCCTGGGTTTGAACCCTGTCGGTGGATGGGTGCATACTGATGAAGGGTCTCAAACTAGGACGAAACAGCTGTCCAGTACTCCCAGGTAGTTTTCCAATGGTTCTCTAACCGATGTCAGCTCATGATGCCATCGTGAAATCCAGTACACTTAGTTAAAGCCAGCCAACCAGCCAGTCACGTAGGGAGCTGCAGATTGCCTGTCTGGTTGGGGTCCTCGGAATGATGGTGGGAACCATTGAAGGCTGGAGACAATTGGCTATATGGCTGGCGCTGGTGCAGATTCATTCACTCTTTTTCATTTATCATGTCCAATAAAACTATACTTTTGTTCTTCTGTATTACTATTGTTTTGTCTCTCTCTCATACTTCTGTCTATCGTCTCTCTCTATGTCTTTTTTGAATCTATGTTTACTGTCTTCTGTTGGTTTGTTTACTTACTTACTTTACTTCGGCTATCTCCTACGGGAGGATGAGCCGGCTTCATGAACATCTCGAATCATCGCTGCCCAGGCGCGGCGATCTGATGAAGAGAGTTCATGAAGTTTCATGGGAATTTGATACGAGTGATGTCCCCAGAATCGCTCGGCCTTTTGTTTGAGAGTGCAGCTCTAGCCTTTACACAACCAAGTGTGACCTACAAGGCAGTAGGAGTGGAGTAGGGAGTCCACTATCCATTGGCAGCCGGTGACCGGAGTTCGGTTCATACACCTTTTTGAATGGGGCCAGACATCCAGGACATCCAACAAGCCCTTTGTCCATACGTCTGCCGGTGAGCTCCAGCGAGCTTCATACGCCAGTCGTTGGAGGTTTGGAA